TCAGCAGATGGCCGCTCACACTGAGCCTGGTTCGTAAGGAGCTTTCTTCCCGTTCAAAGGGAGATTTTCCTCTCCACTGTCGCTACTAGCATGCTTAGTGTGAGGGATTGCTGAAGAGTCAATGAGTCGATGCAATCAGCTGGTTTTCCTTAGATAGAAAACTTTGAATCAACCTGACTGGATGATCTGGTGAACTGGAAAGTGACCATCTGCTGACGGAGCTCCTCTCCGTCAGTCATCTAATGGAGGCCTGACTGATGAGAAAAGGAGCCATCTTGTCAGCTCATTGTTTGAATTTAACCAACTAAAGCTCAGCATCATCGTGTCTGGAGCGTCGCAGTGCTCAGTGTTTCTCATTATCATCCGCTTGCACCGGCTACCGTTCATTCATCCTGTCCGCTGAACTGCTGCTAGTTTTCCTCACATGCCTGGAAGATGTCTAGAGCTGCTACCACAGATGGTGTGGTAGCAGCTCTACCATGTGTGAAACACTGGAGCTGTTAACCTCCTGTACGTCTCTTCCAGTCCTTCACTGACGGTACCACCAACAAGCTGGTGGGCTGCTATGTGGACGACAGTCCAGAGGACGTGGTTCTGGTCCGAGTCTACGGGAACAAGACGGAGCTGATCGTGGACAGAGATAACGAGCTGAAAAGCTTTCAGGTAGGGATGAGGCGTTGCTTCCTCCGCTGCATCCATCTGGTTTTTCTCTCCAATCTTCCTCTGACCTTTGACCTTCCAGGTGCTCCACGCTAATGGCTGCGCTCCACGCCTCTACTGCACCTTTCAAAATGGAATCTGCTACGAGTTCATGCAGGGGGACGCTCTGGGGCCGCAGGATGTCAGGGACCCGACCCTGATCCGGTGAGGATCACAACATGGCCGCCATCTGCAACTCTTTTCTAGCTGATAAGTTGGAGATGAAACGCGTCAGACGTGGTTTATTTAAAATCTGCTCTCCTCTCAGGTTAATAGCCAGGGAAATGGCTCGGATCCACGCCATCCACGCTCACAACGGCTGCATCCCCAAACCCAACCTCTGGATCAAGATGCGGCACTACTTCTCCCTGGTGGCCACCGAGTTCACCGATCAAGCCTCCAACCTCAGGTACGGTTCAGCTATCAGCATGCAAATGTTTCCTGAAGCGTCGTCTGAGCAGCAGGTGGTGGAGAGGAGCCGTCTGCAGTTTTAGAGTTTATTTCCAAAAACCACTGATATTTACACAAAACGTTCTGATCATTCATGGTTTTTACTGGGTATTTATTGGCTTACTGGTTTGCTTTGGATGTTCCTTTGCTCTGAGCAGCTGAGGGCACAAGTGAACGGATCTACCTGAGGTCGATCAGTCAGTCTAGTTAGCGAAGTGATCGGTAAACCTCTCCGCTAAGAAACCAGGATGGCTTTGAAACGATCTAGGAAGCTCCAGAATGTTGCTGCTGGAAAAGTTTCCAAACCATCAACGATAGAAATGAGAGGTTTGAGAAAGGCTTTAGGGGCGTGTCCATCTCCTACTGACAGAATCAACGTCACGTCAGAGCAGAATAAACACACCCACACTGGGAATTCAATTCTATTCAGTTTGTTTCTATAGCTCCAATTCACATCATGTCATCTCAGGTCATTTTCCAGTTCACCAG